ATGTTTTGAGGATAAGAAGGTATCCATCTTCCATAAGACCTCAATTGTGGTTGTTTAATATCTTTGGATTTTTTTTTTTAAGATCTGGTTTGGATTTTTTAGATTTATACATGAAATAAGAAAACAATTGTTCCTGGAATGAAGGTTTTCTAGGCTATGGTCTTCTAAAATCTTATTAAGGCAAGACAGGCTAATGGAACAAATGACTGCTGTTATTTTATGTATGTTGTTTGGAGATATATAGTAATTTTTATTGCTTGAGTCTACGATAGCACTGCAATACCCACATGCCCCATTTTTAAAAGCCAAATAATTTTATAGAAAAAGAGAAGCTTTTTCGAGCAGTCTTAAAGGCCAGTCTGTAACAAGCATGTCTCGAATTCTGTGAGGGCAAAGGTAAAGGGATATTTGTTGGTTCCTGTCTCAGTTTAGCTTAAAGGCATATGCAAATTAACAGAAAAAGAAAAGTAGAAAGCAATGGTAGTATTTAATTCTGTGTCAAATTAAGTAAATTAAGTTCACAATTTAGGAAAAAATTGAAGTAGACTGAGGTAAAAACTGGAATCTTTGTGGAAATGGAACTTAATCTGGCCTTAAACGATAGATTTTAAATGGTGAGGGGGCAAGAAATGATACTCCAGCTGAGAAGCAAAATTTAGTTTATTTTGTAGAGGGGAAAAAAAGTGATCATGCTTTAACTTTAGATAGTGAATATTCTCAGATCTGCAAGATTTTTTTTTAACCTTGAACATCTAGGGCTATAAATCCTTCATGGTTCCACTGAATGAATTCGCTCAGCATATTTTGCATTCAGATAAGTGTGTTATAATATTTTTAAGATATTTCACATTGACACTTAAAATATATTTACTATATTTTATATTCGAAAAGGTAAACTTTTCAAACCTATGGAATATTTGTCTTATTGTATTTTATTAGGCAATTCCACCTTGTTAATGATTTTAACTGTAAAATATGCTGTTTTTAAAATCTACCTTTACTGCTAATGTCAGGGATCTACTCTAGTTTTTATTATTCCTCCTCTGATTACATAGTTATAATATGTTAATGGAATCCTTAAAGCATGCTACACATATATTACCACTGCATGCAGGCATTTTTGAACACAGCCAATTTAAAATTTCCCATTGTAAAGGTCATTCAATAGCATTTTACTTTGTTGGTGGATTTGAAGTATCTTCTACTGTTTATGGAGATATTATTATCCATTTGTCTGGGGCCATGTATTTGTATTATCATGTGTGAAATTTGTATTGTTGATTTGGCCTTGTAATGATTGATCTCTATGCCACTCCAGACATAATCACAAGGTGACTGAAACTCAAATTTAAGCAAAATATAAATCATGTTGTATAGGTGGAGGATATATGATATTACTCAACTTAAGGTATTATTTCAGAAATGTTAAATAATTCGATCTAGATATATAAGTTATGCTATCAGGACTCTCTCTGTGTTACTTAACTCTGCTATATTCAGCTTGGTTTCAGTCTTAGGCCAGCTCTCTTCACCCAGAGGCAAAGTTGAAGTATGCATGGCTAGAGTAGAGAAGGTTGGTACCCAGAAGATTGGCAGGGGCTGTTTCTGAAAGGAAAAGGTGCTGGGATGACAAAGAAGTAGGATATACCACAACAGGGCCCATGGTTAGTCTTAGACACAATTATCTAAATTTGTGAAAATTGTTTTGATTGGCTTTCATCTTCTTTCATACATTTCTCTTTCTACTTTTGTAATTAACTCACATCCTGAAACCCAACATTCTCATTCTTTCTGCTAACTCCCATGGCCCCCTACTCTGAAACCCCACGTAGTCCTACCCTCCCAGTGATGGATGGGTGGCCTTCACTTAACTTCTCCTCTACCACTGTTCTCAGTGTCTGAGGTTAGCTCATCAAGTTAGATTTACTGAGCCTTGATTAAATCATGTATAAAGGAGATTTAGATATCTATATAATACATGCATATAATATATATATATATGCACTTATTATGAGGAATTGGCTCATGCAATTACAGAGGCTGAGAAGTCCCATAATCTGCCCTCTGAAAGGTGAATATCGAGGGAAGCCAGAGGTATAGTTAACTCCCAGTTTGAAGGCCTAAGAACCAGGGGGATTGATGATATAAGTAATGATGTAAGTCTCAATATGTTCCAACTAAGCAGCCTGGCAGAATGGGCAAATTTTTCCTTCCTGTACCTTTTGTTCTATTCGGGCTCTCAAGGACTGGATCATGCTCACCCACATTAGGGAGGACAATCTGCTTTACTGAGTCCACCCATCCAAATGCTAATCTCATCCAGAAACATTCTCAGAGACACACCTGGAAATGTGAATAATGTTTAGCCAACTATCAGAACACTCTGTTATCCAGCCAAGTTGATGATAAAATTAACCATCACATACATTAACATAATTTATTATCATTATCATTATATATATTTTAAATCATGTATAATATAGATATAGTAATACCAGTCCTGCTGTGAAGTTCAGTTACGTGGAGGTTAAAGCTTTATGTAAATTTTAACACTTCATCAATACAAAACATTATTAAATAAGCTCCAACCCATATAAAAAACACCTTCCATTAGATTTGATCAGGGAAATTTATAGTTAGATGTTAAATGATGACATGGATTTAATAAGTCTCATCCCAGAGGTATTTCTATTTTAAAAGTTGCTGTCCAGAAATACAGAGCCTTAGGAATTGATTCCTACTGATATTATAACAATAGCCACATAAGTATTAATTCTGGAGAGATAGTAGAGAATACAGTTAAGATCATAGACTCGGGACCAAACTGCATGATTTCAAATCCCGATTTCTTCATGCATAAATAGCAAATGAAGTTACTTTAACCAGTGTATTGTAAATGAAATGTTATATATGTAAAAGGTTTAGAAAAATGTCTAACACATAATGTGTGCTCAAAAAATAATTGTTAAGTGAATATTGTTGTGGCACAGTATCTTAGGACAGTACCAAATGTATAGTTATACTCGATAAGAGTTTGTTGAGAGAAGAAAGGATTGAGATTGAGGTAGATTTGGGTTTGGAACAGGAGTTTTTAGAAATTACTGCTTTCCATGTTCATCTTAAAAGTTGTTCATTATTCTTGCTTCTTACTGTTTTCTTTAATGGATGTTTTGTGTTTAAGAAAACTTAGTTATCTTCATTTGATTATAATAGTATATCTTTCCTCCACTTTGTCCAACTGAAACAAATAAGTAAAATTGTATATGACGCAATAATAAATTATTTAAATACATCATATTTGGAAATTTTATAGCAAGTGATAATATTTCTTACTCAAAATTTATAAATTATTGATTATTGTTCTATAAGAAAATGGAAAAATGCATCCAATTTCTTTAGGTAGTATAAGAATATTAGGTGAAATCACTTGTAAAATGCTTTAATTTCATATTAACATGTACATAAACCAACAAATATTTTGTATTTGTCTTCCAATTATACACAAACATGTATATACCTTTGGAAACAAAACTGTAATCTGTATTTAAGAGAAAACCTCCTTATCCCATCACTCTTAGTTTCATGCTGACTTAGGTTCAAATAGTGGTTGTATCATTCTTTAGATAAGGAGAAGTTATTTTGCCTTTCTGAAGCTGCTTCCTGATCTGCAGAATCTAGAGGGTAATATCTTTTCACCAAGTTGCTGTGAAAGATTAAGGGAACCAATAGACTAGGTGCATGGTGGTCCTGAGTGCTAATTTCTTCTCTATGTCTCTCACTTTCTTCATTGTTTGTTTTATGGTATTTAATATCTCAGAAAATATCTTTTACATCATTAAATAAAAATAGGTGTAGAATATTCATTTTTAAATTCTATCACATCTTAGTTTAACATCTTATCAAAGATACCCAGAATATGTTTAGATGATTATTGGTCAGCGTGATGATTTTCAAGGGGTTATATAAAATAGTTTATAATTATGCTATCCATGGCTGAATCAGCTCCTTATCACACCATATATTTGGATTTCCTTTATTTCTTCCAAACTAACTCTGAAATTAGCCTAGAAGGTCCTAAGAGGAAATATTTTGAATATATGTAATCCCCAAATAAAAAACCAGCAAAAGCCAGTTTATTTATTATTGAATGTCCCCACGTACACATAGATATACTTAATTATTGTATTCTGACAACTGTACCTCTAAGAAGGCCATCAATTGTCTATATGTGAACATGAACTGTTAAATATTTTAAATTTTCAGATATTTAATGATTTTCACATTGAAATATGTACCAGAGTTACTCATCTAATTGTTCTTGCTTTAAATTTGTCACATCCTTTGTTTAGTGTTAGATACAGAAGCACTAAATTTAACAGACGACTGGGAAAAAAACCTGATTCCGTTTTTCTAAACCAAAGTCAAAGGACATCTGAAGACTCATAGACAAATTATAAATTTATTTGATAGCATACTGACTTATAACTAATAGCCATAATTACAAAAATATCTTGTATAGTTCTTGTTGGGCGAGTTAATTAAACATATCCATCCCTCAGTTTCCATACATGTTTAAAAGATGCTAATACTAAGCTAGACTGACTAAGCTGACTAAGCACCGAGGTCGTATCTGTTTCTAAGAATATGTGATTCAATGATGCTCTTGCAAAATCGATTACAGGTTGCTTTTTTATTTGGAATATAGATATTGTGTGGAAATAGTAATTGCTCTTGAACAACTAAGTTCGACAAAACTTTCTGCAGTGACAGAAATGTTGCATATAGCTACTGAGCGCTTGAAGTGTGACTAGTGTCACTGGGGAAATGAATTTCTAATTTGATTTTGTATCAGTTTTGACGCAAATGTAAATTGCCACAGCTCCAGAGTTATCAACTCATAAGCAAGATCTTTGAGAAATAGGGGCAATTAGAAATAAAACATAAAATGTATAAGGTTGTGCAACGAATTTAAAAGCGACAATTTCACCCTCTCTTTTCAGTCTCCTGCACATAGTTACTCAAGCTATGACTCTGGCAAAAATGAGAGCGTAGACCGAGGCGCTGAGGACCTGTCACTAAACAGGGGAGATGAAGATGAAGATGACCACGATGACCACGACGATTCAGAGAAAGTGAACGAGACAGACGGCGTTGAAGCGGAGCGGCTGAAAGCTTTTAATGTGAGTCTTGCCACACTCCAAGTGCGGTTTAATTTTTACCACTTCACTTTCATGTTGTTGCTTGTTGGTAAATGTGGATATTTTAGAGACATGTTTGTTTAATTTACAGAAGGATTTAAAAAGTACATGAAACACTCTTTGCCAACCAGACACCAGAATTGCTGTGTTTTGTTTAGAATTTTAAAGCCAAATGTGAGCTGAAAACTGGAATTGTGTTGTGTGAGTATGCATGTTTACCTAGTGGATGGAGGGGGCCTCAGCTTAGTCCTCGGAAGAGTACGCCCGTCATCTGTTATTTCTTTTGCTTTCCTAGCTTATCTAATTATGCATGACAAAAGAGTCAATTGTTTGTTTTCAGAGATTAGTCCACTGTGCAGTGTAGCAATGTAACAGTCGTATTTATCATTAGCAGAGAATTTAATGGGGTGCTCAATTGTCACAGTCTACTGTTATTTCCTGATTTTTTTCTACACGATATTCTTTTCTGTCTGTGTGTCTGTCTGTCTGCCTTTCTCTCTCTTTTTCTCTCTCTATTTTTTAATCCAACCATTTAGAAAAGTCTTTAAAGAGTGTTTGCTTAAAATTTCTGGCTTTCCATTGCAAAGTTCTCCAGTGCATAAACCAGAAAAGAATATTTTCCTATCGGTAATCAAGACAGGAAGCTAGGAACAGAAGACAGCAGCCCTCCAAACCCTTCTCCTCTGTCTCCCTCTTGCCAACAGATGTTTGTCAGGCTGTTTGTAGATGAAAACTTGGACCGAATGGTCCCAATCTCTAAGCAGCCCAAAGAAAAGATCCAGGCTATCATTGACTCATGCAGGCGACAATTCCCTGAGTATCAAGAGCGTGCCAGAAAACGTATACGTACTTACCTCAAGTCCTGCAGGCGGATGAAAAGAAGTGGTTTTGAGATGGTGAGTTTTGAATCAAAACACAGCCCTAGATTCCATCAAAATCCCACATGTAAACCATGACACTATTTTTTTTTCATCTTAGTGTCTTTTTTTATTTTTTCCATAATGTCAGGTCAAAGGGGTTTTTGTTTGCTTGTTTGTTTTTTCCCCTTCTCCTTTTCATCTTCCTGAAGTATTTATTCCCTTTGTTTAATTTACTAAGGAATAGCTCCTGAGACCAGTGCTCACAGAACCGTGTGGTACCATGTCACAGAAAATGAGGGTGATATGAGCAAAAACCAGTGAGAACCAGTATCTCATTCACGTTTGTTTTCTTTCTGTTACTACTAAAGTGGGTATGAGGTTAATCAAATCTTGAACTGAGGCACTAGTTGTTGCTTTAGATGGATGTTAGAATGGAATTCTCTGGAACGAAAGGCAATGGATGGAGCCGTCTAAGGAATATTGTTTTCGTACCAATGGTTAACAAACAGAAAGCCTGAAAAAAAAGATAAGGGAATGAAAATGCTCAGGTGAAATTTAAGACTTTGTTTTACTGAGTATGTTTATTTGTGTGCTTGTAAGACGGTACCATGAGCTTTTCTATTCAGCTGGGCTTTATAGGTGGACGAAATTATGTTGATATTAGGTTACTTACTGGTGTTGAAATTAGAAATCAATGGATTTTTGAACATTATTTCACCTTGCTCTAATTGTTACATCTAGAAATAGCACGCAAATTTACAATGTATGCTTTTTCCATTTCTTTATTTTTCACGTATGCAAACAGAAATGTATTACAAGTTTTCTGAAACCATTTTTTTCTACTCATCTGCGAAGGCTCCGTCAAAGCCTAGACTGTTAGTGTTTGTGATCTGTGACTACTTAATTTGGTGTGAATTGGTGAAGATAAGAGAGGTTTCAGAGTGTGTCATATAGAGAAATGACAAATCCACTAGTATCATTTTTTCTACATTGGCATGTAAACATAATATCTTTGATATTTTTTAAAGGAAAAGTGACTGTTCTTTAAAGGGAAGAAGTCTTCCCAGATGTCTAGGAGCACATGCTCTGTCCCCAGAGAGCCTGGTTTTGAGGTCTGAATCCACCACTTTCTAGCTGTATGATCTGGGCAGGTTACTTTCCCTGCCTGTGCTCACTTTTCTCCTCTGGAGATGATGATAACTCCAGATTTATAGACCTATGAGAATTATATAAGTTGTCTCATGTAAACTTCTGCAAGTCATTTCTGACAATAGTAAGCACTCAAAGCATCTTAACTCTAAAAATATTACCGAATAGTATTTAATTCATCATCTGAAAACAATTTCCCAAAATGGTTTAATTCTACAATTAAATTGTTTTAATTGTAGAATTGTTTTAATTCTACAATTTAGAACACTCCAGTTAAGTATTTGCTTACTTCTCCGGGTACGTATCCTACACTGGAGTTGGAGTTTGTGGTGAATAAGTCGTTTTGTACTAAAAATGGCACAATTTAGTAAACTGAATTATGGTATTAGAGGTCGTATGGTATAAGAGAGAATGAGAGATTGCTTGAAAGAAATAAATCTATTTCCCCCATTAATTTATTATTTAATTATTATCATTACCTACGTCATAGGAGACAGGCAACAAATGAAAGGGATATCTAAACAAGTGTAAAAACCATTGACATCAGATTCAAGGCCACTTACCAGTCGATGTAAAATTCTAATTCAAGGCCAGGCGTGGTGGCTCACGCCTGTATCCTAGCCCTCTGGGAGGCCGAGGCGGGTGGATCACTCAAGGTCAGGAGTTCGAGACCAGCCTGAGCAAGAGCGAGACCCCGTCTCTACTAAAAAAT